TTCTCTGCTGATGTGCTGTTCCAGTCGTTTTTGGATATTCCTCAGGAGAATCTTGCTTGCGTGTGAAATCAATGATATCGTTAGATAGTTTGCTAGACACAATATAAAAAACACCAAAGATTCAATTCCTCATGTTTTGTTCAGTATCAGATTAACAAACTGTTATATAACCAATCGTTAAGTCAAGTATAATGCTATTCTTTAAATGATCACCTGTAGAAAATAAATTTTGAAAAGTACACAGGTTCAATTCTATTTTATATAAAGCAACAGGTAAAAAAGGAATTCCCATTTTAATTAGTTTACCATAGAACATATATAGTAAAACCTACAAAACCTGGAAACTGTAAGACAGAAACTTGCCATGGAAAGCAAACTTATTTCCACTAATAGTGAAACATGGTGTGGTGTGAAATGTTTAGTGTTCAAAATTACTTTCCTAGCCATTGAATTTGACTTTGCCATCTGGATGGGTGAAGATATTCAATAGGGTGTTTAGCCTGTCCACAAGGAGACTGGCCAGTCTCACCAAACTACAAGAGGACCGGCTAGTCTCGCTATTAAACTGAGTGGATCCAACAGCAGAAAGAGGAAAATACAAGAGACTGCAACTCATGCTTCTTGACCAGAGATTCTTGCACCAGCCAGACTAAGGCATATGGGACCAACAGCCATAGCAGCCACCGGAGAAAACCAGAGACTTGCCATGGAATGGAGTGGACCCTGGGATTGCTATACCACAGAACCAGTGCTAAGACCCTTTTGTCCAAGTTTGCTGGAGAACTGGGGAGGGAGAGCCACAACTTGCAAGACCGAGAGCTTTACAACACTGGGGTAAAGCCATGAGGTTCAAGGATGAGGCACCTGACTATATTTAGCTACTACTGGGCTGCTCCTTGGAGGCAAGGGCTCTGAAGCTTCATCTGACAGACTTTGGGCATATTGCAAGGGGGGACCAGTCCTTGGAGAGTGATATCCTGTTTGAGAGGGTGGAGGGACAGCGTAAGAGAGGGAGAAGCTCAATGAGATGAATCAATTCAGTGACGGGGGTAATGGGAGGAGGTGTGTCAGAGACAGTGATGTTGGCACAAAATAGAGCAGGTTTTAGTTTTAGGGCTCTTATACATAGAGTTGCTATGAGTCGAAAGCAACTTGACAGCACATAACAACAACAACAACAACAACCCTGGATTATAACCTTTTAACTTCCCCAATGTGGTTCTGTGTGGTCTTTTGAGCTATCACATCAGATTCTGGATCCAGTAAAATAGTAAGATTGCTGCTGGGATGAGTAGAAAGAGGTATGGAAGTGTGGAGGGACAGGTGTGACTTCATGAGAACTGGTTTTGTGCTGTTGATATTGTTGATGGGGACAGTTCTCCTTTGTAAAGTGGGTAAGGGTTAGTTATGGCCTATCCCACACAATCCTGGCTCTTTTTTACAAGTGGTAAGCTACACCTTGACAAAGGTGGAAAGCTTGCAAGACTGGAAATAACAAGGCAGTCCTGGCAAATTCTGGCTCTTGAGATTTTACTGGAATAAATCTTCTAACTATCTAGTATCTTCTCATCTAATGATCTACTATCATTTTCAAATATCTCTAGTCACTCCCCCTGGAAGTGGAGTAGTCTAAGTGAAGTGGTAACCTCTGGGGACACCAATTTTTTTCCCCTTAGATTTTCAATTGCTTAAAGAACTGTCTTTATCAAGACATTTTTCCGTATTAAATTTTATTAAGGTGTTGATTCAGTCCAAGTATGGATAGTATGTCGATGGATTAGCAACTATCATTACAATGACTCCTCCATGACAACATGTACAGGTGTTAAATAACAAATGCCATTTTACATTATGGTCTATAGAAGCTTCTGTACATAAATTTAAAGGAAACATACTATGCCATTATTATTACTATGCGTACATCTTTGTTTCTAAGCAGGCTCAATAAAAAGAATTGTTCTTGTTAAGTGCCATTGAGCCAACTCATAGTGACTATCTATCCTGTACAGGCATAGTCACAAACACCACCACATGTAAGCATACTGCTAAAGTTGCTGTGTCAATCCATCCTGTTGAAGGTATTCTACTCTTTAACTCTCTTCTCAGCATCATATATTTTTCCAAGCACTGATCCATCCTAACAGCATGCCCAAAGTATGTGAGACAAACTTTCACCATCCTTGCCTCTTGGGATACCCTGAAGAGGATGTGGAACATTTGTTGCTGAAGATTGAATACTACAGCGTTCAATATGGATTACACATAAGAAGACAAAAATCCTCACCAATGGACCAATAGGCAACATCACCATAAATGGAGAACAGACTGAAGATATCAACAGCTTCATTTCACACGGGCCCACAATTAACAGCCATGGCAACAATGGTCAAGAAATGAAGA